AATTATTGCGGTATTCCCAAAGTAAAAGGTAGTCTGGAAAAGACCATACATTCTAATTAAAAAAAAAAAACAAAAATTTAGATATATATTTTTTTTTATTATAATTTATACACATTTAAAAATTCTTACTTTGTTCGATTGATGAAGTAATATATAGCGTAAAGATATACATAGACAGCAGTTGAACCACAAGTCAAAAAACTCATCCAATGCCTATTTTAGGGTAAGGATATGTTAATGACTAATAACGTTTTCTCATAAGTAATTATTGGAATGTGAACACAAACCATCGATGATCTTCGTTATTAAGCAATATATACGTACTGACTATAGTTACACAGGCAGTAATTATCAAGAGAATAATGAAAACGAATAACATGAAACCGTATACATAATAAATTTTATATGCCCAAAATGATGAGAAAATAAAATAAATCTCTATGAAAATTGACGCGAATGGGAGAACACCACCAAGAGCAACTATCACAAGGGGTTCGGCGTACCTAAAGTTTATACAGATTAAAACTAACGAAATAAATGTGGGTAATGATACATCAGCAGCACTTACCAAATTTTCTCAGGAATAGGTCGTGGAATAGGATTAACACGGCAGGGAAAATTTGGCTGACTTGCCCAATTACGACAAAGGATTGCTCCCAGGAATGTCAACGGAAATGCAAGAAATAACCAGGTTGCAAAAATCGCTAGCTGCGAAAAATTGATTTGAATCACACATATATAATAAAAATTAAATCAGTAATAACGTAAAAATAAACATACCATAGCTGTGAACGGAATTGCCCGCGAACTAGAGTAATAGACGGCAACAAAATTGATCATAGCCGTCATAATACTGAGTATTCCAGGCCATAAAGTAGCAGTTACAAGAATATTCTTTATCCAATTACGACCTTTAAAAATATGAGTAGCACGTTGACACCATTGTAAAAGAAACACATTTAAAGAAAACATCCAGATCAATACCTCCATAAATCTGATATGTGTTCGCACTGGAATATCCCGCAACGACGGACGTCAAGGTATAAAAAAAGATTGATGCCATCAGTATAGTGGCACGTCTAATACAAAGAAATAATAAATTTAATGGTTATAAAAATTGATAAAAATTGATAGCTGTAAAAATTGGTTTAATTGCCCGATTTTGGATCACAATCCAAATTTGAAATTAGAGTAAATATTCACTCTGCATATAAATCTCCAATTATTATATACAGAATAATAACTAAAGTTAGCCA